CAAAAAAATGAGTTTTTAAGTTACGCAGTATTTAAGAAATGCCCGATTGAATTCTGTTGAGGAAATGATCATTGTTGCGCAATACATTGTACGATGCACGTGTTATCGAATGTACTTTGCATAATTATACAATGTAATGATGTAAAAATTCTACAATCATTGTTCTAAATTATATGAAAAGCACTAACAATAAGTTATCTGGTAGACGATGTGCTGAATTTAAATCTCTTTGTCAATAAATTATATTGGAATTATATGCATTAGAAGTTTGATTATGATAATCTATGTGATATAAATACGCATCAAAATCGCCATAAATGTATATTAAATTAATACCAAAAGGTCTGCCGAAGTGCGACAGTAAAGCCAAATATTTTCCTCAAATGTTAAAAGCACGTATTTATATGTATGTGTGTTTAATTAGAGAAAAATGTATATATTAATGTATGTATACACTTTGAACACTCTCCGGACAAATAAATTATGAATATAATATGAAAATTATCGACATAGTTAGCTATTAATTATTAACCTAACAGTACTGTTCCGTACACATATCAAATATTTGTTTTACTTCAATTTTATACGAAATCTATCGAAATTATTTGACTTCTGTACACATAGCTGTTTTGCAAATGAAATGTTAATTAACTAATTTGCTTTCACCTTTTTATTTGCAAAGTGTCTCGTGTATAACACCCTCTATTTATATATCAGTAAACAAGAATTTTATGTATGTATAAATATTATCATATTTCTTACATCCGTAGATACGCAAAAATATGCGAGGAAAGGAACATTTCGGAAATTTTGCAAAATGCTTGTATACTGATTATTGTTAAGAGTAAATAATGAAATAATTCGTTTCAATAATTTACTTTTGGGATTCCTTGGAGTATAAACAAATTATTGAGGAACATTCGAACAGAATTAATCTCGGAACACTGTCTCGCTAAACATGTTTTTATCATACTTTTATCATTGCAGTATCGAAAGATTAATGATTATGTGACCTTAATGATTGTGTGACCTGAAACATGTAAATCGCAAGAAATTTAAAACCTTTCAACATGTATCTCGTAATATTTCAAGCTTTAACATAATTATATTTCTAAAAAATAACATAGAATATTATTAATATAAATATAATATTAATAAAAACATGAATTATATCCAATTACAAATTATATTAAACGTACGATAAATGCAATATTTAAATTAGGAGATTAAAATAGGAAAGAGAATTAGTTTCATATTTAACGATGAGGCGGTTAACAGATGCACCGGGTTTAAGAGTATTTGGATTTCACGCCAACATCAACAAAGCAATTCGAACTAACGAAAACGGCCAGATCGCCGGTGATGTCTATTTAGCAACAGACGGTCGCTGGACCTTTGAGGATTTGGACGTGACTATAAAAAATGGAGATGTACTTCGATACTGGATTTATGTGCAAGCGGACGGGGCTAATCACAGGAAGAACGACCAGAGATGGACATATTCTCGTAAGACTATTTGCATAAATACGCAATTTCTTTCTGACTCGCCAATAAACATAACGGTAAATTATTATTATACATATATATATATGATACTTCGGATTAACAACAGCGACGGAAAATCAAGCGGTTGACAGTCAAGAAACTACAGAGAGTTCTTCACATTATGAAATTCCGGCTGAGGGCCGATTATTGCTCAAAGACGATTTCGATTCTTTTAACGAGTCATTGTGGAAACGCGAGATAAAGATGCCATTAGATCCGGTGGGTGTTCTGAGTCTATTATTCATTACAGAATTGTACGAAACGCAATAATAAAATCAATACATCCGTAAAAATGTTGAGGAAAGTCCCCCTAATATGAGATAGCAGGATTTTTGCTAAATTAATAGGCATCATTTATTGGTTTCATCGTGAATTTGTTGTCCTTGGAGTGAAATCTGTTTAGTGGAAAATTCATTGTTAGATCGTGCAATCGTTGTGAACAAAGATTTCCGTTTGAATTTTGATGTTGAAAACCTGCTAACTCATAATAGAGGACTTTCCTCTACATATATGGAATAAAATATATACATATGTGTAGCCATATAAAAATGTGAGCACATTCATCTTGACGGAAATATTTAATTGCTGAAAGTACTAGGAATGGAATAAAAGTTTTTGAAGAATTATGGAATGTATCTCAAAGTAAATCTTTATTTTTCTTATGAAATTATACCGTGAAATACAAAAAATTAAAGTGCATCTGTTGAAAAAGACTAAAAAAAGTTACGAAATATTTTAAATATTATGGAATTAAGTAACTGTATTACTTCTTAATAAAAAATTTTTGAAATAATTCTTTACTAAAATATAGATAAAATAATAATGAAATGGGATAAATTGATAGATCATCAAATACAATTCAGTAAAACTTCATTATAAATATTTTCAATAAAATACTTCCATCAAGGCGCACATAATTTCACTTTTCATTCGATAAAGTTGATTGTGTTGGAATTAGGACTACGAATTCTGCGTATATCACAATCAGAATCATGAGAAACTTGTGCAAGTACATGACGGTAAATTATTCATCAGGCCAATTATACTGGAAGATTATTACGGCGAGAACGCGACCGCGTACGGAAGATTGCAACTTAATGGGTAAATATGAGTAAATAAAATTCCTACACATCTCCTTTTACTCACAGTTTATCCATTTGCAGATGCACAAGCACGATTGACTTTGAATGTACACGGCAGGCGTTAGCCTACAGCATTCTGCCACCCGTTATATCCGCGCGTCTCACCACGAAGGAACGTTTCGTTCTGCGATACGGGAAGGTCGAAATGCGCGCGAAGTTTCCCCAGGGCGATTGGATATACCCCGGTACTGTATACTAATTGGATGCAATTTGTTTATTGCGAGCAAGACGTATAATCGTTAAACTAAACAGTGTTATGCAATATAATACGGTTGGGTGTACAGCACCATGTAAACTCATCTGAACGAGACACACAGTATAAGGCAATTTACATATCTTTTATTCGCAATTAACTACAAAGAATATAAGTTAGCAATTTTAACTATACTGGCATGTTATTGTATTTGATTGTAAATTGCTTCAATTTATGTCCTTGGACTAATTTACACGATACTATGCCAAAAGAATTTTCATTACTCTCGCCAATTTTTTGCAAAAAGTTTTGACCAGCTTTCTCTAACATAACTTTGTCCAACAATAATAACGACTGATCTCTTTCGCAAGGTCGTATCTCGACTTTACGCAATTTTTGGCTTTTGTGCCTCAATGCTCATTCTGGTCCAGCCGATAAGTATTATTTAAACTTAATTAAATTTTTTGGAAAAGATTTAGAATGGTTATTGAACCACTTGGTCTATAATGCCACGTTTCACCAGAAAGATACGAAGCAAAAAAATTCTCACGAGGATATATTTAGTCATAATTGTATACAGTGGATATTAATGGAATATTTCTGGCGCGCTGTTAAAAGTATCCCGTTTTCTTATTCAAATATTTTCGTGGAAACAAACTATGTAAGAGAGAAGTTGTGAATATGTCTCGAATAATTTTATCAGAGATGTGGCTTGAGCCACGATACTCTACCTACGGCGCGAACTACGCTAGCGGCCGCGTTCTTCTGGGATTGGCGCGCGGCAATGAGAATCTGGTGAATGCCACGGACGTTTCAAAGATCTATGACACTAGAAGATTGGATTTTGGCGTGAGAGTAGGCGCGAGCCCTAATACGGTCCGGGAAATACTCGTCACGAAAGTAAACGAATTTGGGCAACGGTGGGCGCAGGATTTCCACGTGTACACGACGATCTGGACCAGCAATGGTTTCACGTTTTTGATCGACGGCGAAGAACTGGGCCGAATAAGTCCTGATGACGAGGGATGGCTAAGTGGTCCTCACGCAGACAGAAAAGCCGCCCCGTTCGACCAAGAGGTAACATTTCGGTGTACCGTAATTTCTGTTACGGTAAAATGGTATCCATGTAACTCCTCGTAGCAAGCAAGCGTTGTAATTCTACCAAGAGAAAATTTTTTACGTTACACCTTATACATAATTAGAGGCGTGACATTTTTATGTTATTTTTGGCATTTTTTGCGTTTCGTTTTTCCAGACTTTGCGTTTTAAAAACGTGTTAAAACGAAGTTGGGGGACTCCAAAATGTAAAGAAATGACATTCAAAACTTCCTGATATTTTGCGTATAAAGATAACATCAAAATGTCACACCTCTATACATGATACACATTAGTTAATTAGTTGATATATCAGTTTTTGAAATTGGATACTTATGTTCTTTTCAATAGTTCTTTATCACTCTCGGTATCGGCGTGGGTGGAATACGTGTATTTCCGGATGGCACGCTCAGTTCCGGAATACGAAAACCATGGAGAAACGTGGACGCTAAGGTATAGACGCATTTTAATGTTATTTGTGATTCTTTTAAATCAAATTGTCTAGTGGACAATTCAACATATCTCGGTAACTTCGTATTTTCGTTCACAAAATAAGCATTCTCACGAAAAATGAGCATCTGTTTTTTTGTTTAAACACTGAAGCGCCGATTCTTGGCTTGCAGGCAATGCTGAATTTCTGGAACTCTCGGAACCATTGGCTGCCAAGCTGGAGAAGAGACGATAGCAATAAGACTGCTTTTGTAATAGACTACGTCAAAGTGTGGGCTCTTTGAATCAACGCTAACACGCGTGCATAATTCATTTTCTTCAATTCATATCCAACATTTTCTTTTTTTTTTTTAATCATTTGTATTGTTGGAGTGACAGATCGAATCTCTTTAGCATGACAATTACGTCGTGCGCATAGGCACTTAATTGCCCATGTGAACATGAAGAAGTGAGTCGTCAGCAAAAATTGGCAAATCGATTTACTTCTGATTCAATAATGGCAGAAGATTACAGCGTTGCCCGCGATGTTATTGCACTTGGAATCTCCACTCGGGCAGATGCATAAAGTCCTTTTTACCTGCGTAACGCAATTAGAGTCCTGTAATTGGACCGCTTCTGTTTCTATAAAAGGGTGAACGATGCTCCCGCGAAATCGGAAAGAAATTCAGGGTCGTCCGGAGCTGGTTTTACCTTTAATGACGCCGCCATTAGCTGCTCGGACGATCACCCTCTGATAATACTCCTGCCGATCATTACATGAACATAAAAATGTCTTAAACCAGCGCGAAGTTTGCCAAGGGCACACATTTTCCACATAGGAAAGGCTACAGGGACAGACGGTACCATCGATCGTATTCGCTCTATGCGTCACTACGCTCTACCTCCGCGCTTTTGCTTTTTCCTAATGTAACAGCTACTTCTCGATCTTAACATTTTCTGTATGGTAACCGAATAGAAATACAAGATTGTATAATAAAACAACAATCGCCTCGGGTGCTTATTCCAATGATATATTACATCATTACATGGAATGCGGCAACGTGCATAGCTCGCAGCTAAAAATACCGTGCCAGACTTGATACATTATGGTAAGTGTGTGACGACTGTCAAGGCCATCCCCGTGATCAGGCTCGACTTTACTCGGCAGTTTCGTTTTCTTCGGGCCGCGGAGCTTCGAAAGTTTGAAAAAAAGAAATCCGCTTCCAAGACCGCACGGTAGAGACCCACCGGAGAAAAACGCTTTCTTAAACAATGCAGAAGGAAATCGGGTAAAAAAAACACACACAGTAAATGACGGGTAAAGCACAATGCCGACTTTCGACCTGGCCCATCATTCAAACCGGTTTACCTCGGTTAACATTGGAAACAAGAAAAAAGGATCGTCGTGCGGTTTCTTCCGTCTGCTTCGTGGTATCGCGACTGATGCTCCGGCCGGATCCGATTAATTTAACGTCTACGGCGCGCACGTGTGCTATTCTACCGTGGCATAAAATCTCGACAAAAGTCGAACGACCTCAGTTCGGCTTTGGCGTCTTGTCCGGTCTCGTTTTTGCGGCCTCTTCTACGCGGCGGGACTTTTTCCCTTGCGGACAGTCGATCGGTAGCTCCCGCGGTAGCCACCACGGTTTCCTCTCCCGCGGTCGGCAGACAATTCAAACTGTTCTAGCTCGCGATCAGCTCTGCTAAATGTGCGTTAACTTCGCGCACTTTGTCTCGACCTGAGTCAGTAAGTCGGTAGTCACCTACGGAGACCTCGTGACAGATAATGACACTGGGAAAGGTGATTGTTATTTTAGTCGTCCTCGTTTCGGCCACTGACTCTCTGGCGGATTATCATCATCGCTCAAGGCGATCGAGTAAGTGATTTTATAACATAATTTTTATGAAATGTATATAATCTTGGGTCTACGAGATATAAATGATCCCAATTGCCCGGGACTATGTAAATACGTCCTTAATCAATGGATGTGTATTTCCGCTACGGTAGGTCAGAATGAACGTACGTTCAAAATGCGAAAATCTGAATCTAAATTAAAATCTCAAAGATATTTCAAATCAATTTTAAAGGATAAATATCTTTTCAATTCTATTTACAAAAGACGAACGCTATATCTTAAATTCTCTTTGCATCTTTCAGATGCGTTGCTTAGCTAGTGCGTGTATGCGCGACATCGATTTATTACCTGTTGTACGCAAGCTTCAACAAGAATACGTACATATTTAGATGTCATTGAGAATGAATGTTTTAAATATTAATAGTTATTATCAACGGCATATCTCACAATGCAATTGAATAATTGAAAAACTTGGCTGAGAACGTATATATTGCCGTTGGTGAAATCCGCTTGACGCACAATTACGTAAGAATTAGATAATTATTGTACACATTTGTGTAAAAATCTGATTTCAGATAACGAATATATACTGCACAGATGTACAGCTACCGCGGAATTAATTAGAAGGCACAGGAATGAGGAGGTCGGCGCTAGCTCGCGTAGAGCCGAGGACTCGGCGCAATCGCAAGAAAAAGGCTCCCCGATCGACGCCATTCAGTCCGAAGCTTCCAAGCAAATTTCGAGCGGCGTTTACCGACGTATGACTCACATGAGGAGACGCGGTACCGGGCACGCACGTCGGATCACGGGCAAACATTTCGTAGACACACCCCTCAAGACCGTGAACATCGACATGCCACAGGACAGACCGCCGGCTTTCAAGAAGAAGAGCCCGCTGCCGGAACTCGCGCGCAACGTGTCCGGCAGAAAGATCGAATCGTCGCCGCATGTAATAATTATCAAATCTGCCACCTAACATTCAATTTATGCTGCCGCAGACTCTATCGCGCATCGGCGTGACTGCGTAATGCACGATTATCTGTAACAATACCGAAGAAACTTTTATGCCGCACATCATTTAAGCGTGCGCACAACCTTTTGGAATAATTTATCGATCCTGCATTATCACAGACCATCAATTATTTGCGATAACCGCGGCCTCTCGAAGCAAGATTGTTTTTCTAATCGTATAAAAACTCCCGACAACTAAATACTGCGTCAAATAAAGAGACTTCAAACACATTCTTTTTACAGTTTATATCGACAAATTATCTACAATATGGATTATGGAAACAATTATTTATAGTTACAGACTGTAGCTACGTGTTGCACATCGCAGCTATGCTCTCGGGCAACTTCTCCATTTCAATCTGCAAGCAAGAATTCCCTGATAAATCATATGTAAAGACGAAGTAATAAAGGAGCAAGAGCCAAGACAGGACGTTAGTGTCTAAATCATTTTTATTTTAAGTCTTGCGAAAAATAATATTTCAGCTAGGGGGTGTCTCACCAATCCACCGAATACCCTAGTCCAGGTTCAAGCTGAGATATTATTTTTCGCAATAGACTTAAAATAAAAATTATTTAGACACCAGTAACGAATTCGGCAGCTTGCACTAGCGCGCACTGAGTGCACAGAAAAATGTATAGCTAGCGAGGGCAAATACTTTGATTAATGAATTTTTGCTTTTGATATCGAAATAAATGAGTTTGTTAAACAAAAAACACCGCGGAAACTAAGTTTACCACCTAATATTTAAGACAATTCTTAAATATAGGAATTGACTGTAAACAAGCCTTAGTGTGCAACCTGCCGAATTCGCTATAACATCCTGTCTTGGCTTTTACTCCTTTATTACTGCGTATTTGTGTTTTCACACTAGAATTTCATTCATTGTTCAAACCAGATGTAAATTTAATTTTGAATCTTTTTAATTTTCTTATCACGAGAGACCCTCTGACCTTTGTCACTTTCATCGCCACCCCTTCGGGCAGGTTTCTCTGAAGATACTCTAGAAAAGTGTCCGCCGTCGACCCGGTCAATTTTAAAAAGTCCAGGTAGCGATAGTAAGTCCTGAACTCGTACTGTACGCGGTGCTTTTTATGAACGTGCGCGGACTTCAGCACCGTCCAGCGCTCGTGGATCGCTTTGTGCGGCGCCGTGCTGTGAACGTAAGAATACGTTTCAAGATATCGTCCAGTTACAGCGAAATCGATTGCTTGCACTAGTGCGCACCGAGTGCGCACTAAGGGCCTGAGCAGACTGGCTGTCCTATACCCTTAAGACATAAGATAATTATTGTGCACTACCTCAAGACAAAGGCTTGAAACCTAAAACATTGTCTTAAGGCTGTCTTCAGAGTATAAGACAGCCATTCTGTTCAGGCCCTTAAAGAGTACTTAGCTAGTGATTCGTATGGATGCAAATCATTTTACCAGCCAAGAAATGTTTCAAGAGATATTCAAGACGATCTCTAAACATAAGAATCGACTGTAAACAAGCTTTAGCGTGCACTCAGTGCACACTAGGGCAAGCAACCGTGTTCGCTATCAGCCAAGGCGTCAACTCGGGTGTAACCGCAGAAACTTACTTTCTGCCTACGTTGATATTCAAGTGGCCCGCGGCCATCACTGCGAATTCTCCGTAGCTTTTCAACACGGCTCGGTCGTTCCCTCTGACCTCGACCTCGACTTTTTTGTACAACTTGTCCGGCGTGGCCTGTAAACACGAGCGGTCCGTTAACGCGCGAACACGTTGGAGCGAATCAATAGAGCAAACGGCGACGACTTCTCGCAGAATTTACCGTGTTTATCGAAAGAACGAGCTCTTTCGTCGTCGAGTCCCGCTGCTGCTCGTCCTGCTCTCGTTGCGTCGACGTGCAAAGTGTCACGGCGGGTGCGTTTCGTAGACATCCTCGCGCGAGACCACCGGGACACGCCGGTCCGTGTTGCACGACGGTGGCATTTCTGAGGAGAAGCGGTATCTAAGGGAACGTGAACACGGTTACACTTAACCTCAATCGCACCTCTCGCGTTGGTTCTCATTCAAGCTTCGTACCTTCGACAGCAACATCTCTCGTCGTTATCGCCGGAACGGAGCTCCAAATTGCGAGACGGTCCCCAGAAACTCTACGAATTTATTATTTCCGCATAAAACATATCCACCCGCCCGGATACGTTTAGCAGAAGCACGAGACGCCGCGAGTCGAGCGGCGGCCGTAACTGAGGCTGATTCGCTGGATCCGGCGGCCACGACCAATCGCGCTCGCTCGCCGCTCAACAATTGCACAACTGTTGTTTCTGCTGAATACAAATTGTATTGTACAATACAACTCGGTGCGCTCAGCTGCGACTAGAATTGTACAACAGTTGTGTAATATCGCGTGCATGCAATCGATCGTCATCGTACAGATACAATGTTTACATATTAGCGGCAACAAGAAAGTTGTCCGTTTCCGCGAAACATTGCGATCGAACAAAGTTGAATTAACAGTCTGGCTTCTCTCGCGGCACAGAAACAGCGCGATCGATTGTGGCAGCTAAAAGTTACATATATGTGTACGAAACGAAACTTGCTTCTATACGCAAATTAAAGGACACTTAACGTACGTACATGTACATTTATATGCGCAAAAGCTATCCGAAGACATAAATTTCTCGGATCTTCAGAGAGTGTAAAATATTTAATACAGAACCGATACAATTTTTGTATATTTTCATCGTATGTTCAGTTTGTAACGAACGATCCTCTTTATAGAACTTTATTTAATCTCTCGCATCGATACATTTTCATTAAAAAAAATAAACACTGTTATTCATATAAATTTCTAAATATAATAATACACATAACTTTTAAAAATTTTCGGATATGAAATATATGTAATGTTTAATTTAGCTTAAACGTAAACTTATAGAAAACGCTTCAATGAAAGATACTATCGGTTGTTATTACGTACATAATATTTATCAGCTTAACACATGTAAAGTTATGTATATACAATACGCCACATGCATGTAGTGTATTCTTTATTCTCTCGTTGCGAAAGTAATGCAGTTAATCGATCAAGTTTGTGTGAAAGAAACAGCATAGTCTGCACTGAAAAGAAAAATTTCGCTACCATAGCTAATCATGGTTTGCTTGAAATATTTTGCTGCCATAACTATAAATTTCTAAACCACAGTAAACGGTTTGCTATCGCATCTAATACAATAGGCACAGTAGCAAAATATTTAGCTATCACAACTAAATATTAGCTGTCCATATTTTACAACTGAAATTTAGTTGCCACAAGCAGTTATTAGCTACGGCAACTACATTTTTCTTTCCGTGTGTTAATAACTTCATTATGTCATATGAATATCACTTGAAACAAGAACGGAAACACAATAAACAAAGTTTTTTTAAATGAAAATTACAACATAAATCACAATAACGGATAGATATTTTAACATATTCTGCAATATATAACTTTATTCGACTTATACTTTATGTATCACATAACTTTTCTGTCTGAACTTCTTACTACATATCCGAAAAACATATGTGTGTTGTTTGATAAACCAAAACGATGAAGTGATAAGCTATTATTACTTTGAGTAACATCAAAATATCTTATCTAATGTTTCATCTAACGTCGATCCTTATACAAATTGGGCATAAAGGATCGCTGGGACTGAAAACCATAGTTTGATTGCCATCCAACATTGGTTCCAACGTTGGTTCCAGCGTTGGTTCCAGCATTGGTTCCAGCGTTGGTTCCAACGTTAGTCCCTCCTTGCCAATTGGATGACACCTTCTTATTCATATCATTTATAGGTGGTAACCAGCGCGAGTCGTTCATGCTTGAATTATTAATATTTTGGCATAGCGATTTCGCTGGAAATGCTTGCGACTTGCTCTGCCAATTGTCTTTCGGCTTTGCCCAAGGGTCCCCCTTGTCAGCTTCTCTGGACCAATTGTTGGACGATGTAGCCTGATTATCGACGTTCGGCCACCTATCCTTCAAGCTAGGATTGCTTTCATCGCCCCAGGGGTCCCGCGCATCTTCCGGAAGGTCGTTCCAATCCTCTTTGTCTCCTTGATTCCAATCGTTAGACTGCGGCTGCTCCCATCGCGACTTGTTTGTATTCATCCACTGCTCTTTATTGCGACCACCCAAACTTTCCTTGCCCCGACTCCAGTTGTCGCCACCGGTTCCCGATCTGGATGGAACGGACCATCTAGGCTCCGTAGGCTGCCATGGTTCTTTCATGCCGGGCTTTGCAAGCGACTGCTTTGTATTCCACGAATTTCCATGAGACGAGGAATCTCTGACATCCCAGGACTTGTTTTGGTTAGCCGACTTGCGATATCTGTCATTATCAGGCAAAGTCTGCCAATTTCCGCTCGTAGACGGCTGCCTCTCGTCACGCCAGACGTTTTCCGGTCTTTCGTTAACGGACCGTTGCCAAGTGTTGCTCTGTTCAATAGCGCCTCGACTTGGTATGTCCCACTCATCCGCAAACCTATTTGGTGGCGAGTTCTGGCGCCTCGGAGGAGATAGCTGTCGCCTTGGAGGGGATTGCTGTCGCCTTGAAGGCGAGGCACCACGTACATGGGACGCCCGATGCGGCGAAAAGTGTCTCATGGGAGGCGACTGATGTCGCGGTGGAATCATGTCTCTTGATCTTGACGGAGACATCATTCTGCCAATAGGCGACATAGGTCTTCTTTCCGGAGACTGTCTCGAAGATAGATCATATTCCATCGGAGACATATGTCGTCTCGGTGGAGACAACTGTTGCCTCGGCGGCGACATGTGCCGTCTCATAGGTGACATTGGTCGCCTCGGCGGGGACATTGTTCGATTAACTGGTGAAAATGATCTGGGTGGCGACATTTGATGTCTGTCGTCGGATGATATTATCTTACTGTGCCCTATTATAATCCTTACTGGCGACATTTGCCGTCTTTGAGAATATTCTCGATGTGGCGAAGAGTCATGCGGTTGATACGACCTATCCGAAGAGAGATGTCGTCTAGGCGGCGAGCTCAGGCGTCTCGGTGGTGACAGTAAGGGACGCTTTGGTGAATATCTATCTGGCGATCGTTGTCTAAATGACACATCCTGCCTTCTCATTGGAGATTTCTTCGTAGATCCATCGTTCCACCGATTTCTATCAAAATTCTTATTTCTATTCCAGGAATCTTGATTTTGTGGTCTATTTCTGTTGTCAAATGACTTTTGGGAAAAGTCAAATTTATTGCTGTTGCCTTTAAATTTTTTCGATTTCATATTAAGCGGCATCAGCATATTTGGCTCTAGCGGTTGCAGATTGTGATACTTTTTGAATTTCGGCTTAGGATCCTCGGTTTCTAAATACTCTTTGTTCGGCGCCGTGATAACAATATCCTGAGCTCGGGTTTCTTGTACAAATCGACCTTTCAGAAGAGGATCGTCATCAAGGTCTCTCTTCGCTTGACTCTTCGCGTCAGGCTCAGGTGGCGCGATACGATCCCACACTGAGCGCGGCAAATGAGTTTGAAATTTATTGGTTTGATCGAGAACCAAACTTAAGACATTTTTTAATTCCTTAGCGGTCGTTGCGTCAACCGTGGGAGATGGACCGCTTAACTTTTCTTTGGCTGCTTCAAGAATTTCACGACTTTCATTCACCTTCTGTATTAGATCTGTGTCAATTCGGTTACTCAACAATTTTTCTCGTAAATCAACCTCTTTGTTCTCCCGTTTTTTCTCGAATAATGGATTGATGCGAAGCGTGGGGTTTTCATGAAGCCAATTCTTTTTCTTAGCTGTAAAATCTGATTAATAAAAAAAAACATTCATTAGATGTGCGCATATAACAACTTCATATAACGTCTATTTTGTATCACCAAACTTACCCTGTTGCCCTAATTTAGGTCCAAACATATCGATTTTCTTAGGCACTTTCTTTATTTCTATTACTTCGGGCGAGTGATCCCGTTTTAATCTTATTTTACCTTTCACCGGTGAACCGCTTTTCACCGCTTTGGTTGTCTTTTTTGCAAATGTCACTTTTTCCACAAGTTCGGGTTTCGCTAATGGATTCTTTCTTAATTGTACATTCGCATCTTCAGTTTTGTCATTATCGATCATTTTTTCCAAAGTCTTAGTGTTTGCTCTAGCGTTAAGCTTAGCCAATGACTTGCCTTCTTCTTCCAGCATCTTGATAAACCACGGCTGCGTAAGCCTGTGCATGAGCCTACGTTCCATTAGAATAACCACCTCGAAATGAGGTCCAGTAGGCAATGTATCGACGACACATGCTCGAATTGGCATGAACGGATGACCGAGCCCACTTTCTATAGGCCGTCCAAGTTCTAATATCGCTCGAACTGATTGTTTTGTCAACGTAGTGACCATTACAATACGACGAAGGGAACTGATTTTTCTTAAGCATGTCATTACTTCAATAGCTAAAAGATACCATAATTTTAGAGTTTTATTATCATAAGGTACGTTGTGGACCGGAATGCTAAATTGATACTATTGATTAATCGTCAAATGAAACTAATAATATATTAACGACTAACAAAATTCGATTTTGCGTACCTCTACCCATATTGGTGCCCGTATTGACTATGCAGTAAGTCATACGATTTTTATTGTGTAAATCACGCGCAGAATCTAATTTTTGTACAACTTCAGATGGGGATCCCATTATGAACGATGCATTGTATATGTTGTTCATCTCGCTCGTCATTTCAGCTTCTTCTATTTCCGAAGGTGAATCAACTCCTATCACTTCTCGACATTTCTGTTATAATGCAATGATAGTATATTACTCGTTCCATTAATTTGTTTAATATTGCGTTTATGTATACACATAACGCGTGATGTTAGAGTAATATGTCAATACGTCTCAAGTTGTTTAATAATGCGTTTACTTACACAATTTTTTTTATGCAAGTTACGCAAATACTTACAGATGCTATTGTAAGCCCAATTACACCAATTCCACAACCGATTTCAAGTACTGTAATCTTTTGTGTAGGTTCAAGCATGTCCGCAACTGCTTTAGCTACATTCCACGCACCGGCAGCGTTGCACCAAAAGTTTGTCTTTGGCGCGAGCTGCACTTTTAGATTACCCACCATTTCGTCTAAAGCTTCTGCCCCCACTAAGAATGTTGTAACAATTTTATCATCGCGTCTGAAACGAATGCAGAGATATGCAAATTTCTGCTATTTAAAGCATAGTTTATCTTGTTTTTTTTCTTTTATCTGGGCTCTTACTTGTTCAACGATTTGCAATAGAGAGATTTGACGTTACAATTCTTCCCAGGACCAGACTCAAATGTCTGCTTCAAACGATCCGTAACGCTTTGACTAATATTTTTCCCAGTTGCAAAAAGCATGAGTTCATCCTTGCTATTGCAACGTACTAACAAATACAACCATTGTTGTTTGTTATCTTGATCTACACCTTTCCTTGTGTCAATGTCCATTGGTGTGTCACTCGATGGATTTTCATTAGAAGTGTCTTCAGTTGGAGTTATAGTTGTTTGAAGAAAATCTTCAAATATCTACCAATAATCATCATCGGTATTACAACTCTGACACAATCCTTGCTCTTAATACAAGTTATCTAATAAATTGCACTTTCTTACATTTAAGCTAATTTTTATATACATACGTACACATATACAACATGTATGTGCTGTACATTATACATATATATTGTTGTATATATGTACATATAATATCATATAGATTATATATATAATCTATATAATATTAAAAATTATATAATCTATATAATAGAAATTAAATGTGCATATATCAGATAACTGTATCGGTTTGCATAATTATGTTTATATTTTATGTTTATTATTTATATCATATTGTAGAGTTATTTAAAGCATAACATTTTCCAAATTACATATTTGATTTAGTCGTAATTGACTATCTTCAACCACCAGACATTATTTGTGTTATCGTACAAATAATTCTGATCATACGTGTCACATGTATAAATAGTCGTATTTTTCGCGTTCTTTTTAAAAACAAATTAATTCTTATCTATGACAAAATAGTGTAAGTATCAAGAGGTGTATTTGATTCGTTGTACCTTTGGTGTGTGGTAATATTAAATAAATACTTTTGTACATATTTTATATGCATCTTTAAATATTTATTTATAATTTTTATATTTTTTATATATCCCTGTTCACACAAACACACACATTGAAAGAACATTGTATATCCCACATAATGGCAATTACAGTATTTCGTTGTACTTTTTGGTTTATGGTAATATCAGATAAATATTGTACATCTTTTTTATATGTATACTTTTTTCAATATTTATACTTCTTAGTATTTATTTATAATTTTTTTTATATGTATATTGTTTTCTTCTCTCTCATTGAAAGAACGTTGTGTATCCCACATAATGGTAATTTCTACCAAGTGCATTTGTTGTATTGCACTTATAGCAATAAACAAATTAAATTTATACATGTTCTCTTTCTTTTTTTTCTCTTATGCATATTCTCTTTATGCACATATACGATTAATTATATGCACATTTCTTTATTTGCTTTATTGCTCTATTTTCAATCATAAATGCAATTATTCTATTGCAATTAGATTTGCAAAAGCTTTCACTTTTTTTACTCATATATGATTATTAATATTATATACTTTGATAGTATACAGGGTTTGTCAAAAGTGTGGAAACCCCTAAATAATTTTTGTAAAAATGAAAATATCAAAATACGTGTTTTACCGTCTTTTGAGATTTTCATTTTTACAAAAATTATTTAGGGGTTTCCACACTTTTGACAAACCCTGTATAATACAAATTTGATATATCACCATTGAAATGCGTTTTGTTATAATGTAAAATTTTTTATACGACTATTAAAACTGAGTACGGTACTTTCAACACAAATAAATGTTTTAGTTCTTTTACAGTATATATACATATGTACATATAACGTAGATTTAAAAGACAGAATATGCTCTTCCTATTGAATGATACTATTTCTATTTTCTGTCTTACATATATTTGACATTATTGTGCATTATTCAGTTTGCATCCAGTTTTTACACGATAGAAGATGCTTACGACTGTGTTTTAAGAGCCAAGTATTTTGCCAATATTTTGTAAATAAATGTAAATTGCATTCATATATAGAAAGTATAGATTAATCAAGTTTTTGTTTAATCTTAACTTTAAATAAAAGCTATAAATAAAAAAATGAATAAATTTTGTGCAACTTTACCTTGATTGCCTTTAATACAAAAGATGGTAATTCACTTGTATTATCGACATTAGCACCCCCTATTCCAATTTGTTCGAGGTACCACATTGTTTTGAAACTATTATCTTCTTGTTTTAGAGACTCCTCTACATTTCTTTTCTTACCTACACAAACATACACATTACATTAGATGTATTACTATGTAGATTGATATTTATATTTGCAATATACAGATATATAAAAAAACAAAATTGTTATTTATATGCCAGCTTAAACTAAATATATTATAAACTTGTCATTTCCTGCAAAAATTATTTTATTGTAACGATCTCGATAAATGTGAACATTAGTAATGTGTTAAATACATAAACTATGAATTCTGAAATTAAAAAAATATAAGAAATTAACTAAATAATCACTATCTAATGTCCAAACTTACCAATTTTTGCAACGAGTGCTTTCTTTGAAGATATGCAAATATACTTATAAAATAAAGTGTACAAAATAGTAAAAAATTTCAAGACATTACTTTTTGCACTTACACTGAAATTTCCATCGATTGGTATGGATTGGTTTCTTTAATGAGCAACGTCGGATCGAATCTATTTTACATATGGGCGATCCTTCTATCTTCTCTATTCTTTCTAGCCATTTCTCATAAGAAGGATAAGAAACTGTTAACACTCGAGCTAACTTTGACAGTCTATCTCTTAAAAGAGCATCTTTCTCTGCAAGCTGAAAGAAGATTTTTTCACGCACAGTAGTGCACCTTTGTCTTGCAAACACATTCAGTTAAAAAAAAGAAGAGATTTACCTTCTTTTCGTACCACTTGTTGTCTTCTTCTTCTTCTTCATTTTCTTCTTCTTCGGGCAGTGCCGCTTCACCTTTATCTGGCTCCTGCTCTGTTACTTCTTTGGGAAACAATTCTGATTCATCAGTTTCCTTCATACACTCATCCACACCGAAGGTTTCAGGATCCAATTCAATGTTTTCTATTACATCCAAATGATCCATCACATCTTCGTCCGTTATCTCCTTCTGTCCATCAAACTGATCTAAGCAGATGTCAACAGTGAAATCGGCGTCATCGTTCAATTCCGGTTCACACTCCATCCCTATCAGAGATTTCTCTGCGTTATTATCATGGGATTTTACGTCACCTGCAATATAATAAACGTTGCGCGAGAAATGTTACACGTGTGAATTTCTGCTTCCAGCATTGCAAGATTCACCATGGTGAACACTGTTCTCACAAATTGTGAGCCAAATTATTATCCATTTCTCAGATTACGATACAATATTTGAGTGATTACAGATTACAATATCTTTGCTAAAAGGTGGTTGTCGATCGTAAGAACTGTTACATCTTACCAGCAGTCTCGGAAACTTGCCGCGTCACACTAGCAACCTCTGGACAAGTCGTAACTTCCGCCTGCGAGTCCTTTGTCGTCTCGGGTGTCTCCACTTCCACGCATTCATCCGCTATCTTCTCCAAAGCTGTCTCCTTGCTCATAACTTCGACAGGAACTCCTATATTTAAAAAAAAAAGAAAATAAAAATACGTCCAATTGCATACAGCGGAAAGTGCCGTGAACGATTGCTTATTATCGCGCACGGTTGTGCCGATAAATAAGCATTTTCCGTCCCGTTCGAGATCGGCGTGCGGTCGCACAGCTTGAGACATTTACCCGAGGAATCGCCCATGGCTGCAGGTTGGTGCGGAAACGCGAGGTCGAGCGGAATGACACTTGCGGGAGGACGACCCGTCGCCTTTGGGCCGCGTTATCAACTACGCGACCGCGCGTATGACGTAACGCGGTGACTGGGCAAGGCGAGAGAAGTTTACGGAATAATTGGCGTGCGGCGAACGGCAGCGGCGGCACGCTACGCGCTACGCACGGCGCCGCGGAGCGCGCGTCTTCGATTGTTTGCGAGAGGCAGCTCTTGATTCTTACCGTTCGTCGGCCCCGCGTTCGAAAACAGACCGCAAGGACGGCGTCCACCGCGCGGTCTCTCGCCTTCCGCCTCGTTCGTGGTCTTCCTCTAGCAGAGTCGGCGTTCGACCTCAAAGCTGGTTCAATACGGCAAGTCCGCCGCTCTCTCGCCCGCGCTTCCGCGTATCTCGCCCCGCTGGCAGTTATCCGCACATCTGTATCGAGCGGATGTCATGAAATATAAATGAGTATCTAGGCTGCTTTTTTCCAGTCCTACGGTCCTACGCTTAGCTATCGGCGCGCTATTGAGACGAGACGAGGATATACAATCGAGCGTCGAAGAGAAAGGGAGAGAAGATGGGAAATACGAGAGGTGCGATCGCAAAGAACACACGAGCGTTAACGATTCTCCGAACTGCCGGAACTATAGCTGCATTCTTAAAGACATCGAGATGTAACCTGGCAGAAATAACCAAACCTAACCCTAGCCCTAACTATTACTGAGGATGTGTTCGAAAATGGATTTAGTTACTGCCAGTGAAAACGGTATAGTTGGTAGCAATGAAAATTACTGGTGCTGCGTTTTTCGCACGCCAGTAAAGTCAGTAA